AGCCCTCTATTATATGGCAAGCCATATATGCAATCTACTAGTTGGGATAATATATCAAATCCCTTTACTTTGTTCCTGTCCTACCCTAAATTCTGGCTGATCTCAGGTTTGTGACCATCTAAAGGTTTGATTTATTCCAGACATGCCTTTTCCTGGACTGACATGTCATAGTGAAGCCACAAACTTGTGGAAAGAACACTGGGCTTGGAGTTTAACTGCCTGCGGGTTTAAATCTCAACTGTAAGGAACTTTATTTCCTCATTATTCTGCTGCTTTAATTTTTTCTCTTGAACTTTTTAAAAAGTTTATTTATTTTATTTTTGAGAGAGAGACAGAATATGAATGAATGAATCCCAAGCAGACTCCACACCGTCAGCCCAGAGCCCAACATGGGGCTTGAACCCACAAACCGTGAGATCATGACCTGAGCTGAAATCAAGAGTCAGATGCTTAAACAAGTGGGCCACCTAGGAGCCCCTTTCTTGAAGTTATCTTTTTTATGCTTATTCATTTTTTGAGAGAGCAGAATGTGAGTGGGGGAGGGGAAGAGAGGGAGAGAAGAAGACATAGAATCATAAGCAGGCTCTAGGCAGAGCCTGACGTGGAGCTGGAACCCATGAACTGTGAGATCATGACCTGAGCCAAAGTTGGACACTTGGCTGAATGAGCCACCCAGGCACCCCTTGAAGTTTTTATATCTGCAAAATAAAACCAACGGCTATACCAGAATGGATTATCCATAGGCAGATATCACTTTTAAGTTTTACTAATTTTGCTTATTTCCTTTATGAACTCCTATTTATAGCATCTGTTTTGTTTGATTTACTTGCTACTTCTAATTTTCTTTTGTTGACACTTTATTCCTATGTACTTATTAAGGAAGCACTTTATAACCCAAACAGTGAAGCAGATAGCTGCTCCAGGAAATGTTTAGAATGAGGCAGCTCAATTTAGCTGGAATTTTTCTGTGTCAGTGGGTTACAGGAAGGAGTTTTTAAGGTCCCTATGGGGAAACTGATAAGTTTTCCAGCTACTCCTTTGTGAGTCTTCATCCTGTAGTGTCATTATTTTGTTTTAATGAATTCCCAGAACAATAGGTACACCCATCTGAAAAATGACTACAGGACATATTCCAAAGCCAGACATAAATTATTTTTGGACTCCCCATACTTTTTCTTCCTATGATTTGTGTGGCTGATGCAGAGTTGCTGGCACTGTGTATTTTACATCATTTCCTGAATGAAACATGTAAGCAGTGGAGAGAGAGAGAAAGGATTCTAAGTCATTTTGCAAGTTTTCTTGCTTTTTTTTTCAGTGCTAGTCAATATATGGACTTCATGGTCATTTAATAAATTTAAACAGAAAGAAAACCTCTTGAGTTGTGTCACCCTATTAGCCTGAGTTCTTCTCACCAGGTAAAATGATGCTTGTTTTTAGCTAAGATTTCTAGAAACCAGAATACCTACTCTTGAATTAGAGTGCTTTTTGTAGGTTTGTTGAATGTAATGAATCCAGAGCTAGACAAATATTAACTACAAATATGGACTCTAATGCCAACTGCATTTATAAAGGAAAGCTGAGGTGGAGGGTGAGGACAGGGAACATCTTATGTGGATTTTGTGATTTGTATTTAAATTGATGTTATTTCTACTGCATTTTTTCATTTTAATCCTGTTGAATTTGAAGTAGCAACAGAAGTGTCAGGTAGAATTCTTGGGAATTCAAAACTAGAGCTTGAGGTAGAGATGAGAGCTAGAGATAGTAGGTTTCTTTAAAGAATCAAATGAATCAGATTAAGGGAGAGAAGGATCTGTGATCTCAGCCAGATACAGAGCAAAGTACAGGGGTTCTTCTTAAATAAAAAGTAAAAGCATTTCTTCCTGGATGACACGAGGGAAGACAGACAAATTCAGGGTTTCCTCTGTGTTGTTAGTAATAGGAAAAAACTGCTAAGGATCCTGTGGTGAGTCAGTTTCCCTAGAAGCAGCAACTGAGACAAGACATTCTGTGTAAGCACATTATTGCAGGGGTGCTTGAAGAAGGGGAATGAAGGAAGCAGGTAGAGCAGGGGGAGGGGAAAGAGTCCAGTGAGGATGAAGGATTGGTGAGCAGCAGCAAAGGAGCTCAGCTAAGTCCACAGAGCATGGATTCTTAACACCCTAGGACCCATTTGATCCACATAACAAGGTTAGAGTTTGTGTTAGCTGAGGAAATGGTTTTATGATCCATCAGTTTGTACATTATTAATACCTTTGCATCAATGATCCTACCTTCCCTACTTGACCATTTATCACCACAGAAGCATGGTAATATTCCTAGGGATCTTACTGTTCATGTCTGTACAGAGTTCAAGTTATTTGTGCATATTAAGGGAGGAGACTGGGAATGCATTTCTTTTCTTTATATTTGCCCTTATCCATAAGTGAATGGCAAGTTTCCCTTGGGATATCTGTTCTCTTGGTTTCAACCAACACCTTGATGTTGATAACTCTCAAATCTTTGTCTCTCAATCTACAGGTCATCTGGCTTGCCTCACATAAGTTTTGTATCTGTCCCACTGTCCCACAATGATTTGTGCACAATAGGTGGTTCATAAGTGTCACTCACACTTCAGTCAAGCTGGTCTCTATTACACATGAGTTATTATGAAGCTGAACACATGATTTAGAGCTTAACTTTTAAAAAAAATATTAACTGGGCAAATACTTAGCCTCTCTGAGTTTGTTTTCTCAGGTACACTAGGAATGATAATGCTACAGCATAGGAACACGGGAAAAGTTAAGTGAAAGAATTCAGTTTAAGCACACACCTAAAACTTGATAAGTACCTGGCAAATGTTGGTTCTTTATCCTTTATTCTCGGTGTTTAAAATATTTAATTTATTTGTTGCTCCAGTTTTTCAGCCCTATTGCTTAATTTACCCCATCTGATTTTTCCACATTCATCACACATAGTTCAGATAACCTAAAGTAAGAAGTTTCTTAAAAGAATTGGAATACCTCAAAAGGAATATTGTTTGCCAAATCCAAAAGACCTATGCTGACTATGATTTTGGATCAAGATTTCATTAAAAAAATGGGAAGAGGGGGCAGGGCTAGGTGAAGTAAAGTTGACTCTAATGTTTTTTAAAATCAACATACTAAGATTTTTTTGAGTAAAATTTATAATATGAAGATTCACATGTGGGATGTAGGAAATGTTTCATCATTAATATTAAATTCATGAGCAGAGAGCAACACTAAATGGCATAATATGCCTCTTTATTTCTGTGCATCTGCATTGTGTTATGAGCTCTGGGAGAATCAGAGCCATAAAATAATGTTTCTCCACTCCTAAATGGCCAGGACATTTCTCAGTAGTGATGTGTAGTTTTTATTTCTGTTGATTACTTGTGACCTTCCATGAGTTTTGTACACATGTCCTCATTTGGTTCTTTTTTCCATGGTTCTCAAAAAGCTACTATTAACTACATGGCAAGAGTAGAGGTATATTACATCTGAAGGGTAACTGAATATACTAAGTGGTTTGCATGTCTATATTGTCCAAGTAAGAACATGAAAGAAAACATAAGAATAAGTGGTAACACTGATTAAAATTTTTCCAAAGAAGACCTACAGATGGCCAACAGACATATGAAAATATGCTTAACATCACTAATCATCAGGTAAATGTAAAGCAAAACCACAATGAGATATCACATCACATCACTTAGAATGGCTAGTATCAAAAAGACAAGAAATAAGTGTGGCAAAGATGTGGAGAAAAGGGAACTCTTGTGCACTGTTGGTGGGAATGTAAATTGGTGCAATCACTGTGGAAAACAGTATGGGGGTTCCTTAATTCAAAATAGTAATAACATGATCCAGTAATTCCACTATTGGGTATTTGCTTAAAGAAAATGAAAACACTAATTTGAAAAAGACATATGTACCCCCTATGTTTATTGCAGTATTACTTATAGTAGCTAAGATATGGAAGCAACCCAAGTGTCCATTTGATAGATGAATGGATAAAGAAGATGTGATATACATACACAATGGAATATTATTCAGCCATAAAAAAGAATGAGCTCTTGCCATTTCAACAACATGGATGGACCTAGAGGATATTCTACTAAGTGAAATAAGACAGAGGAAGACAAATACAATATTATTTATCTTATGTGTGAAATCTAAAAAACAAAAACAAAAACAAACAGACTCAAATCCAAAGAACAGGTGGTTGTCAGAGGGGGAGAGGGTTGGGGAATGGGCAAGATAGGTGAAGGGAGTTAAGAGGTACAAACCTCCAGTTATAAAATAAATAAGTCACAGAGATAGAAAGTACAACATAGGTAATAGAGTCAATAATATTGCAGTAATGTTGTATAGTGATTGTGACTATACTCATGTGGCAAGCATTGAAGAATGTATAGAATTGTTGAATCTTTGTGTTGTACACCTGAAACTAATATAACATTGTATGTCAACTATACTTAAACAATAAAAAAATAGAATAAGTAGTAACTCAAAAGGTGGAAACTACCTAAATGTCCATCAACTGAAGAATGGATAAACAAAATGTGGTATATGCATACAATGGGTATTATTCAGTCTGACAATGTAATACAGTACTGATACATGTCATAACATGGATAAGCCTTCAAAACATTATGAGAATTGAATGAAGCCAGACATAAAAAGCCACATATTATATATGATTATATGAAACACCTGGAACTGGTATATCATGAAGACAGAAAGAGAATAGCAGTTATACAGGGTTGGGGGTTGGGAGAGAATTATGTTAACTGGGTACAGAGTTTCTGTGATGATGAAAAATTTCTGGAAATGAAGTGATGATTTCAAAACTTTGTAAAAGAACTTAATGCTACTGAATTGTCTAGTTTCAAATGTTTGAAATGATAAATTTTATGTGTAGTTGCCACAATAAAAAGAAAGATAAGTGGTAAGGGGCTTGAAGGTCATTGAAATGAGCCTCTTGTTTTTCTTTCTGTACAGGTGCCATGGATAACAGAGGCTTTCAGCAGGGGAGTTTCAATAGCTTCCGGAGCAGCTCTAGTGATGAAGACTTGATGGACATACCAGGGACAGCTATGGATTTTTCCATGAGAGATGATGTTCCTCCCTTAGATGGAGAAATAGAAGGTATCATTACTGTTGATGACAATTTATCTTTTTAAAAATTATTTTTAATGTACATACAGTAAAATTCGTTATCTGGTGCAATCTTAGGAGTCTTAACACATGCATAGATTTTTGTAACCACCACTACTAACAGAATACAAAATAGTTCAACACCCACAAAAGAATTCCTTCCTGCCCCTTTGCAGCCAGACCCCCTCTACCCCAAATCCCGGGTAACCACTGATCTATTCTCTGTCCTTGTATTTTTCTTTTTCTTTTCTAAAGTGTCATGCATGAAGTCACATGGTATGTCACCTTTGAGACTGATTTCATTCACTCAGCTTAACCCCTTGGAGATTAATTCAAATTGTTCATTCCTTTTTTCTTGCTCAGTAGTGTAGCCTGAAGTGGGATCACTGGGTCATGTGGTAAATGTATGCTGAACTTTGTAAGAAACTGCCAAACTGTTTTCCAGAGTGGCTGTAACTGTTTTATATCTGAACTAGCTATGTAATGAGTTGCACTTGTTCCGCATCCTCAACAGGTCTTGGTATTTTCAGTAATTTTTATTTTAGCCATTCTAATAGGTATTATCCCATCATGGTTTTATTTAAATTTCCCTAATGACTTCGATGTTGAATATCCTTTTATGTGCTTACTTGCCAACCTCATATCCTCTTTGATGAAGTGTCTGTTCAAATCCGTTCCCTCTTTGGGGGAACCTGGGTGGCTCAGTCAGTTGAGTGACCAACTTCAGTTCAGGTCATGATCTCACAGTTCATGGGTTCAAGCCCCATGTCAGGCTCTGTGCTGGCAGCTCAGAGCTTGGAGCCTGCTTCAGATTCTGTGTCTTCCTCTCTCTCCCCCTCCCCCAGCTTGCAGTCTGCCTCTCTCTCTCTCTCAAAAATAAACAAACATTAAAAAAACTTTAAAATCCATTCCCTCTTTTATAATTGGGTTTTTATTATTGGGAACACATTCATAAAATGAGAATTCCCTCCATCTATTATTTGGTTTGCCAGTACCATCATTCTTTTCAATAACCGCATATAATTTCCATGGTATAGCTGCACGATAGTTTAATTAACCAAGTTTCTATTGATGCATATTTCAGTTGTTTTCAATCTTTTGCTATTACAAATAATGTTGCAATGAATGACCTTCTGTGTGTGTGTTTATTTTTTAAGTATATTAGAGCATTTCTTAGCATGAGTGTGTGAGTGCTTGTTTGACCACAGCCTTGCTGGTGCCAAATAGTTAAATTCTTTTTTCATCTTTATAATAGAATAGGCAAAAGAAAGACAGAAAGAAATACTCATTATTGTTTTAATTTTTACTTTTTTAAATTAGTGAAGTTGAGCATATTTTCATATGTTTACTAACCCCTTAAATTTCTTTTTCTGGAAGTTTCCTGTTTATATGATGTTCCTATTTTTCTGAGGGGCTGATTATCTTAAGTTTTTCTAGGAGCCCTTCATATATTATTATTAGTGTTTTGTGTAATGCAAGTTGAGTGTATTTTTTTCCATTTCTGGTTTTTGTTTTGAATTTTTTTTTAAAAATCTGCAATATTAAAATCTTTACATAGCCAGATATTTCACCCTTTTCTTTTGTGACTTCTGAGTTTCTTATTGTAATTAGAAAAGACTTTAATATAATAAATATAATATAATAAATCTGTGTAATTGCTTAAAACTACTGTCTGATTCTTTAACTGATTGGGATTGGTATTCTCAGCATAAAGTCAGAGGATAAGAAACTACTGTCAGAATTTATTATTTAGCAAATTTGTATGAGAGGCATATGACATTACAGAAACTTTGCTAGGTTCTGGGAATTAGCAAAGCTTTAAGGCACCATCCCTGCCTTCATAAAGTTGGTTCTAGCTGACTAAACAAACGTTAATTAAGTACTTATGATAGTACCTACCTCTTAGAGTCATTTTCAGGATTAAATGAAATAGTAACATAAAGTGCTTATAATTGTACCTGGCATGGAGCTAATGCTCACTAAAATATTAGCTCTCATTATTATTATTGTTATTTTATTTCTGTTATAAGCCTATATTGTAAGTGTTATAACTCTTATAAGAATTTAGGGGAAGCATTTTGTATGTTTGTGTGTGTCTATGATTGGAAAAGATTTCACAGAAAAGGTGTGTTTGAGAAGGGCCATGAAAGATAAGTTATTCAGTAGGAAGAAGAGCATTCCAGGCAGGAAGCAAGCTTTTATAGAGATATCAGCAGGCACAATATACAGAGGTATAAATAGGCAAAATATAAGCCCAAATAAATAAGGTGGGGCCTTGGATGTCATGCTAGGAAGTTTGAATTAACCTTATTGTCACCATGAGGACAATCTCCTCCATCCATTCATTCAACAAATACTTTTTGAATACCTGCTATGAAGCAGGTGCTTTGATAGGCAGTGGGGATACAGTGGTGGGATTAATGTGGATAAGATCCACATTGATCTGAAATTTAGATCCAGTCAGGTTAATGAGTAAGCAAAGAGACTACATAGTTAAGTACCCATTATAATAAGTATGAGGATAGAAAGAAAGTGTAGGATAATAGATGGTAACAAAGAATACTACTTTAGAAAGGTTAAGAAAGTTAGGAAGGTCAAGGAAGTCCTCTCTGAGGAGATGACCAATTAGGGAAGAACATACCAGTATGAAAACCACAGGTTCCAAAGGATAATAAGAAATTGTTTAGGAAGGGTGCCTTAAGACAGTAACAGTAGAAGAGAGTCCCTGAATTTATTTATTTTATTTTATTAAAAAATTTTTAACGTTTATTTATTTTTTGAGAGACAGAGCGTGAGCGGGGCAGAGAGAGAGAGAGGGAATCACAGATTCTGAAACAGGCTCCAGGCTCTGAGCCGTCAGCACTGAGCACTCTCAAACTCACAAATCATGAGATCATGACCTGAGCTGAAGTCGGTCACTCAACCAACTGAGCCACCCATGAGCCCCATAGAGATCCCCTGAATTTAAAGTTCATAAAAGAAAGGTACTTATGGTTTGCTATTTAATGGTTTTTCATATTTGCCTACTTCTGTGAAAGGGACTTGTTTTTGTATATCACTCCCACTTATGTGTAGTTAAAACTCTTGTGAGTCAGTTATGACAACCACTGGCCCAAATGAAGTGGTCACGTTAGGGTATCCATAAACTGAAGCTGGCCGCCTCCTTTTTTGGGGGGTGGGTGGAAGATAGATATTTTTCTTTCAAATGTCATTATTGTTATTATTTTAATATAATTTATTGTCAAATTAGAAGCTGGGCACCTCTAATAAACCTTCTGGCTAATCCAGATTATTGCCTCTGATTGAAAATGATATCATATAGCATCTATATCACCAAAGTGCTTCTTGTGTTCACATTGCTCTCAGTAGATGATGGAGGCAAGAGAGTGTCTATTATTCTTATTTAATAGACTTGAAAGCTAAGGCAGGCAAGATTTTGACATTGCCTGTGACTATAGAATATGTTTCTCCAGCAGTAGTCCTTTGCCACTTTTTACGTGCCTGTTACAGGAGAATTACTGCTTGTTTTTACAACGTCTCACCATAAAGCAACAAAGCTGTTTTCTATGAGCCACACACAAAAATCTGTCCATTTACTGTCCTCTCTAGTGATATAATTTTCTTGCTTAGCTTTTAATTTTTATTTTATTTAATGTTTTCACATGGAGTTTCCTAATGTACATAACAACAACAGAAAAAAAGGTCATAAAGTCGTTGATGTCAATGGTGAGGCTGTGCATAACATACTAACATTTAGTACCAGGCACAATAGCACGTACTAAAAAGATTAGTTAAAAGGAACTTGAAAGGCAGTAGAAGTGGTTCTTGTTTTCCAGATGGCTAGAAGGATTGATTTATGAGGAATGAATAAATAAATTATGCATGGTGTGGTTAAATGCATCTGAGGTAGTGTTATAGCAGTCTGTAAATGAGAAGAAACATAAACATGGAGGTCTCAAAAAAGGGGAGAGAGAGGAAAGAAGAAAAAGGGTTTGAGTAATAAGAAAAACCTCAGAGCTGTTCTCATACTCCATCTGTTCTCACTTGCCTGCCTCTGCAGCCTGGACGTATGGTTGGCAATTCATTCATTCAGCCGTTCAATTATTCAGTATTTATGGAGCACCCAGATTGGAATGCAGCACTGTGCTGTTTTAGTAATGCTCGTCAATTCCCTTGCTTCCCTCACCTCCTTGTCTTTCTACCTCACATGCCTGGCTACTCCTCTCTGACTGAGTGAGGACACAGGTAAAGGCATAGGTGCATGAGAGAGACTTTTCTAGTCATGAAACACAGAGTCTGTGCATCTGAGTTCTGAGGCTCCTGGGACAGAGTGAAAATTGGAGCAAGAGGGAGGTTAGCAGGGGATAGGACGAGAGGTCTAGTTAGAAATCTGGGTGAGGTCTAGACTGTCTGTGCTTCTGGACCTTATCTTGTAACCAAGGAGTCATCAAATGATTTAAAAGCAGAGGAATGATATGATCATATTGGTGCTTTAGGGGATTTATGGCAGTGGATTCAGAGAAGGAGTGGGTTGGAGACTGGAAGACCAGTAAAACTGTTACTTTTTTAAAAAAACATTGAGGTAAAAGATCAAAAGGCCTGTATTAAGACACAGGAATGGAGAGGAAGGAATAATAATTTCTGGAGGAATTTCAAAAGGGGGATTGGTAGGACCAATTAGATATGGGGAATAATCTAGAAGAGTCATAGATGACTTCAAAGCCCACGCAGAGTATGAGAGCAGGCTGTGTGGGAGAATGTGGCCAGACCACCCCTGTGAGTCTCTACATAACCTCCCAACGTCCCAGGGAAGGAAAAGTATCATTTACATTAAAATTTTTTTAATGTTTAATGTTAAGAGAGAGAGAGAGACAGACAGACAGACACAGAGTGCAAGTGTGGGAAGGACAGAGAGAAAGGGAGACACAGAATCTGAAGAAAGCTCCAAGCTCTAAGCTATCAGCATAGATCCCAACATAGGGCTTGAACTC